CCACACTTTACATATATTTTTCTCAATTTTAGTTTAACAAGCCACTTTCGAGCCGAACACGAGCCGAACATGAACACAAATATTTACATTGAGCCCGATACACGAATATTTAAATCGAGTCGAACACGAACACACTATTCACGAGCCGATTTAAAACACGAGCTATTTCGAACGAGCCGAACACGAGCCAAGCCTGAGCTCGCTCAAGCTCGGCTCGTTTACAACCCTAATATTGAGACAAACAATTTAGGATTATGATTTGTATGATAAAAAGTATTATCATTTTTATTATTATTAAAAATCTTTTCATTATTAATATTCATAATCTTTTTTTTTTAATGAATCATGTTTTTATTTTCTTGATAAAAATCAATTTTTTTTAATAAGAAAGATATATAACTGAGAATTCTTGAAAAAACAGGATCCTCATTTTACTAATCATAAAATTTACTAAAAATCATACTCCTATTTCGAAAAACTAATTAAATTAATCAAAATAAATTGAGCCTCATGACCAAAACTTATATTTTTCTTCTGTTGGAAAAAAAATTACGTCTAAAATCGGGACGCAAGCTACATCTGGACAACGGCTACGATTCATCGAAGGTTACTTATTTTCTTCTCCTCTACTCTTTCTGATGGATCACAGCCGCTGCCCAGACACCACTCCAAACGTAGTATTTTTCTGACAATCCCTCCCTCCCTCTCTCTCTCTCTCTCTCTCTCTCTCTCTAGTTTTCTCAAAAAAATTGGGCTGCCGAGTACATATTATGTGGGCCAAATCTTAGTATGTTTCATGGGTTGTAATTTTAAGCTCCGTGCAGTTCGGCCCATATTAATCATCATCATTATTATTTGTTGTTACTCGAATATTTTAGGACCCAATCAGAGGCAATCGAATTTATATTTCATACATAAATAACACATATTCAACAATTGAGCGCCATAATGCAATTTTCTGACGTATCTTACTTATTGCACTATTTTTAGTGCGCTTTAAAAAATTCACAACGGTTAAGTAATGGGTTATAATCTTTATACTGCACGAGAATTCAACACGTATTTAGTTAAAAAAAATAATTGGTAGACACACAAGAAATTTTTACTTGGAAAACACAGAAAAGAAAAAAAATTGTGGGATCTGACTTAGCTAAAAAAAATCATTATAAAGTGATGATTAAAAGTACAATCCCTCGTCCCACAGAAGGGAGAGGGTTAAACACTTTTTTGACTTACAATATCAGTGCACGGATAAACTTGTTGTAAGAAGTAGACGACAACTGCTAGTAACCAGTGATGATCGGTGGGGGGGGGGGGGGGGGGGGGGGGGGGCGGCGGTGGTCGTCAACAGCAAAAATAGTGCTAAACTTCAACTCCTTCTGCAAAACTTCAAGCTCTTTTTCTCATGCCTCAAGCCTCAACCTCTCCCACCCTCATGAGTAGGGCTATCCAAAAAGCTTATTGTTCGCGAACAGTGCGTGTTCGGCTTGTTCGTTAAGTAAACGAGCAAAAAAAGAATAAATTTTTAAAGCTTGAATTATAAACAAGTCAAGCACGAACAGCTCTTTGTTCGCTCGTGTTCGACTTGTTTTAGCTCGAAATAAAAAAAAAATTTATAATAATATATTATATATATTATTTATATGATAATACATTATATATATTTATATCTAAATTTAAATTTTAACACCTCCTGTGACAATGTGGTTATATATCTTCTTTTGTATACATTTATTCCAAATCCAACACTTAACATCTTTTTTTTTTCAATTTAATTTTAACGAACCAATTTTGAGTTAAACACGAGCCGAACACAAACAATCTAGCATAACAAGAACACACTGTTCACGAGCTGATTTTGAACACGAGTCAATCTCAAACACGAGTAGTTTTGAATGAGGCGAACATGAGACAAGCCTGAGCTAGTTTAAGCTCGACACTCATGAGAAGGGTGAGGCTCAATTTATAGAGTTTCAGGTGCAATTAATGCAATAATATGAATCACTTTGATCAGACAGTCCGGAGAGCTTCCTTTGGTCATGCGACATTTGAGTATTTACTGATTTTGGAATTGACTGGCTCGTTGGATTCATCTCGTTGAGACGCTCAATTCGACTATAAGCTCATCAGATTTTGCATCCGTTTGATCTTCCGTATATGCCTAGAAAGTTTCTAAATGCGGTTTAATGTCTTGATTGAGGCTTGATTTCACTCAAATTGACAAATTTTGATATCATTAGGTGCATCTTGTTGAGTCGGTCAGTTGAACTATAAGTTTGCTGAAATCGGAGCTATAGATGATTCTTAATCAAAGTTTAAACATTTTCTACTTAAAAAGATTGCATCGAGATTAATGTCATACAAAAGATTCATACAACAAAACCAAAACCTAATATTCTATCTGATGACATGAAGATTCTAACATGCAACTATACTAAATCCCCTTGGCTATATTATTATTATTATTATTATTATTTTAATTTTCTAATTTGGATTTTCACTTTAAACTAAAGAGATTATCAATCAATATGGGCATTCACATACATACCCCACATTTCTTATATATTTACAAAACTTTCATTTAAATTTTCATATTTACATACTTAACATACTAATTTTTTAAAAGTGAATATAAACACCGAGCTTTAGATTTTGCATATATAGAAATGCATAAAAATCGTGTGGAATGTACGGAAAAAAATATTGCATCAGAACTATGCACGTAGATTTACGTGCGAACTTCAATAAAATCACGCAACGTAGAAGTTACAGAAAAAAAAATCGGTCAGATAACACATGAGAATATTCCACCCGTGTTATTCATGCATTATTATATGTTATTCGGGTGTTATTGTGATCTGAGAATATTCCCGGTGGTATAATGACACAATAACACTTGAATAATACACAATAACATCTGAATAACACACAATAACACCTGAATAACACGAGAAGAATATTTCCTTGTGTTACCAGACAAATTTTATTTTTATTCCTCACAGTCATGTGACTTGATTTCATTAAGCTTCACACGTAACTCTAGGTGCGGAGTCCTGATGTAATATTTTTTTGGTATTTTTACAAATACGACTCATAAATTCAACATGGCATCCTCTGTGGACCCCATCCAATCTCCAAGTACACTATAGTCCCAAACCATTGGTCAAAAACTTATCCGTTCCGATAATCGGGGCCCCACCCAAACTAATTGACTAATCAAAGGCATGTGTATGGATCCATCAATATATATTTTTTAAAAAATGAATAGTACTAAAATTTAAAACAAATAATTAGTGCATATGAATTTACAAAATAAATTATTTTTCTACTAATTTGTCACCAATATTTTCACAAATGTCCAATTCTTAACACTAAACCACATTATTATACAAGTCATACAATCAATACACAATCAATCATAATTTCAATAATTAATTCATAATATTTCTAATCTTTTTGTACACAAATTAAATTAGCAGCATGCTAATAACATTTCTTAAATTTCATGTTAATTTAATATAGGGATAATTACATGCATACCACCATGTAATTTTTCTGAAGTATCGTGATGTTTTTACATGTGACGCAATTGAATTATTGAGAATTTGATAAAAAAATTTTAAAAAAATATAGGTCAGGACTTTACCGTGAATTTTGATATTTGAGTGAGAATTTGTAAATTGATGAAAGAGGATGCCCGATTTGTAAATAGCAAGTTTCAAATGGTTTGTATGTAATTGTCCCCTTAATTTATATAAGGGATAATTACCACAAGTAACATTAGTACTTACAAATCAAATATCTAGTTAAAATTTTTAAGCATTAAACTGATGTATTTACGCGTGTCACGATCAAATTATTATGAATTTGATAAAAATGAAATATATTGGTTTGGTTTTATCATGACTTTTGATATTTGAGTATAAATTGAAAAACAAATGAAAAGAAAAATTAATTTGTAAATAGCAATTTAATTGCCATGTTTATAATTGGAGAAAAATTTGCGTACGTGAGACGTACACAGCGCTGCATACATCAGTTAGGTTACATGGAGGGTAGTGAGGGTTATATCCACGTTATACCCCTTGTAACTTCCTTGTAACCTACATGTAACATACATGTAACTAGTAAGTATTGTGCTTCTGTTTTTATATATTTATAAGTTACTGGTAGGTTACAGTGAGAGTATAGGGGGTATAACGCATATATAACTCTCAATAACCTCCCTGTAACTCACCTGACGTACGCAGCGCTGCGTATGTCTTATGTACGCAAATTTTTCTATATAATTATCTTTATTAATTTCATTCTCATTCCTAACTTTTTTTAATATATATATATATATATATATATATA